ACAACTTGTCACACTAGGGGCCAATCACTTCCCACCTCTGGACTCCACTTTCCTTTACCTGTGAAACCGCAGTGGTGCCACCATCTGGGTAGTCCCTTCAATCCGGCTGCGAACCATTCGGGGTGAAGCTCAGGGTCGGAGGGTTCCATCCTCACTCGATCTCCAGGCTCCTCCCTAGTTCCCGTGGCCAGCCTAAGCCTCATTCTCCGCGACTGACAGCTAGGACAGTCCAAGCTATTTTTGGCTTGGCTACCCTGCCCCTCCCACAATGGGCCTCGCCTGGCTCAGGCCCAGTGCCTGTCTGCTGGCATCGCCCTGAGTCCTGCTTCTTTGGCTCTCTCTCCCACAAACTAGCCATGCCTGGGAGAAGGGGCTCCCCTCCCTACTCGGGACACCATCCGGGGTGCGTCCCCTCAGCCCCTGCCTGCCGAGTCTGGGATCCTCAGTCCTGCCCAGACTGGGAGCCCCCACGGCCATCGCCGCTGCTGTGCCGTGACATGGCCCTGCAGAACGCCCTGTACACCGGAGACCTGGCGAGGCTGCTGGAGCTGTTCCCCCCGCACAGCACAGCCGACCTGCTGCTGGAGAGCCGGGCTGCGGAGCCTCGATGGAGCAGCCACCAGAGAGGTGAGGGGCAGCAGGGGATGGGGCTGAGGACCAGGGGGCTGGGCTGACAGCATCAGGCAGAGGTAGCAAGTGCTAAAGGAAAAGAAGCCCCTGGCAGCTCCTCCCTCACCCCAAGGCTTGCCTAAACCTTGGCCCAGGAGTGAAGTCATGCGGAGCCCAGAATAGCTCCTGCTGAACTGCGTGGCCAGGTCAGGCTCAGCTCAGGCTCAGCTCAGGGACAGAGACCCTCTCCTTCCATCTGTCTGTGTTTCTCTTCCTTTTCTCTCTCTGCCTTTGGCCCCAACCTCTCCTCCCCCAGAGCCCCCTTCCCATATGCTCACTCTGTGCCCTAATGAGCTGGTCCCCAGATGAGTGCAGGGGGTGGGAAGAGCCCCCGGGTGACAGACGTGCCCTCTGTGCCAGGCTGGTGGAGAAGCCCAGCAGTGGGTCTGCAGAACACCCAGAGTCTGGCCCGGGACCCATCGTCACCCGCACGGCCTCAGGACCTGCCCTGGCCTTCTGGCAGGCATTGCTGGCGGGGGACGTGGGCTCCGTCTCCCGCATCCTCGCCGACTCCAGTGCTGGCCTGGCACCAGATTCCATCTTTGATACCAGCGACCCAGAGCGATGGAGGGATTACCGCTTCAACATTCGCGCTCTGAGTATGGCCAGGGGCACTGGGGGGTCTGAGCAGGAGAAGGGAGGCTGGGAATGGAGCTCTGGGCTCCCTCTGCCCTCCTCCCTTGTTACCTGGCAGCTCTTTGCTTCCCTCCGGGATCTGAGGCTGGTGTCTCCTCTCTCCCTAGGACTCTGGTCTCTGACTTACGAAGAGGAGCTGACCACCCCACTGCACGTGGCAGCCAGCCGGGGCCACGCGGATGTGGTGCAGCTGCTGCTGAGGCGGCGGGCAAAGCCAGACAGTGCCCCTGGGGGCCGCACCGCCCTGCACGAGGCCTGTGCCGCAGGCCACACTGCCTGTGTCCATGCGCTGCTGGTGGCAGGAGCCGACCCCAACATCCCTGACCAGGATGGGAAACGCCCCTTGCACCTCTGCCAGGGGGCTGGCACCCTCGAGTGAGTGACTCCTCACCCTAACCCCCATCCCACTCGTAGGGGAGATAAAGCCATGACCTCAGGGGGGCGGGGGAGCATGTCAGGGGTTAACAGGCTGGGTGGGCTGGGTGGAGGAGTCAGGGCTCAGGTAGGGAGTCAGGATGCAATTGCTCCTCAAACCATCCAACCATTGGTCCCAGGAAGTTTGGAATGGCCTGAACTTGGGATAGTTTCTGCTTCCCCAGAGGTGGAGGAGGGCTGTGTCAGGGGGCAGCCGCATGGCCTGCATTGAAGAACTTGTCTGGATTCATTCTGGGGATCCATCCTGTGCCATAAAGTTTTCATGTGTTCTACAGCAACTGAGGCACAGCCCCCCCTCAGGGATCGGCTGTCCGGTGATCCAGACAGCTGTAAGGATAGTGGCTTCCAGTTAGAGTCTGCATTGGTCCCTGGGGACAGGGTCCGGTTTCCAGAATGGCAGACACCCTCAGTAATGGGCTCAGGGACCGAGTCCAGCTAACCAAACTCTAAGAAACTAATGGATATACCCAAATGTGACAAAAGTATTGTTTACTGTATGGAATATTCCAAATAATTATGCCCCATGTGCAGGGGACCTTGGAGGATGAGTCCTCACAATTCTTTGAGCATGGAATCCCCCAAAGGAAGCCTTTGCAAACCGTTGACTAATTGCACCCACAACGGAGGCCCTCTCTCTACTGACTACACACCTGCCAAATTTCACATCCTGCCCTGAATGGTGCCAATTTTTTTATCCTTGGGTCCTTCTTTCATGGACCTTCTTCCACCTGTTAACCTCATCAGCTTTCAGAGGACTCCACTGACTTTAATATGTTGAAGACATGTCCTGCACTGGCATAGTCCCAGAGAAATACACTTGTGGGTGTGAGCCACGTAGGTAATTTAAATTTTCCAGTAGCCTTATCATAAAATGAAAAAGAAACAGGTGAAATTAATTTTTAAAACAGTGGTAAAATACCCATAGCATAAAATTTACCATCTTAACCATTTCTAAGTATGCAAGTACATTCACATTGTTGTGTAACCATCATCACCATCCATCCAACTCCTGAAGTTTTAATCTTACAAAATGAAATTCCAGCCCTATTGAACAACAACTTCCCATTCCCCCACCCCTTATGGCAACCACCATTCTACTTTCTGTCTCTATGACTTTGACTCCTCTGACTACCTCACATAAGTGGAATCATATAGTGTTTGTCCTTTTATGACTGACTTATATCACTTAGCATAATGTCCTCAGGGTTCATCCATGCTGTAGCATGTATCAGAATTTCCTTCCTTTTTAAAGGTTACATAATATTCTATTGCATGTAGATGCCACATGTCAGTTACCCATTCATTCATCTATTGATGGAGACTTAGTTTGCTTCCATGTTTTGGCTGTTGTGAATAATGCTGCTGTGAACATGTGTATACAAATATCTGTGAAACAGGTGAAATTAATTTTAATAATATATTTCATTTAACAAAATATATCCAAAATGTTATCATTTCAACATATAATCAATAGCAAAAAAATGAGATGTTTTACATTCTTGTTTTGTACTGTCTTCAAGTTGATGTGATTTTACACTTAGTGTGTATCAATTAGGACTAATCATATTGCAAGTGCTCAATAGCCACAAGTGGCTGATGGCTACTGATTGGACAACGCAGTTCCGCCTGGTGATGTCATCAGCCTTCAGAGGGCTCCTATTTTTAGCTCTAGCCATGTTCCAGACCAGCCCCCTTGAAGTGACACCCAGTGATGATCCTTCCTTCCTTTCTTGAGTAAGCAAATGTATATCTAAAATCATTATGGAGAATTTCAAACACAGAAATGTGGGCGGGATAAGATAATGATTCATCATCATCTAGACCGCCCACCTCTCCCTGCCATTAACACTGCTGCTAAGAGTCCTTATGATAACAGCTTTTCAGGCCTATGCGGCCCACAACAGCGTCATTTAGGTCTAGATTTCAGCAATTATCCCTATTCTACAGATGAGGAAGCTGGAGCTTATCTTAGCAAAGAGGCTAATGCCTTTAGCCTTGAGGTCTGGCTGGTCAGTTTTGTTTTTGTTTTTCTTTGTGCTCACTGCCAGGCCCCACTCCCCCATTCCCTCCTCCAGTCCCTCTAACTCCCCTGCTGTCCCTGGACTGGAAGGCCAGCTTCTCCCCTTACTAGCTGTGCGAACGTGGGTGAGAGCCTCACGCCCTCAGTGCCTCCGTTTCCCCATCTGAACCTGCCCTAGGAAACAAGTGAGTGCAGGTAAGGCGCCCAGAAGCTGCCTGTTGTGAGTGCACCATGGCGTCTGGTGACGTTTCCTGCCATTGAGGGCTTAGTGCACTATTCCTGCAGGTGTGTGTGGGCTTGAAGAGAGGGCATTGCTGATCCTGCAGAATGTTGCTGGATGACCAGTGACAAGGTGGGAGGTGAGGGCATACAGAACCAGGAGCCACCCAAGGCTCCCCGGTGTTTGCTTTGCTCAGACTGGCAGAAATGCAAGGGTGAAGGGCTGCACCCCATTTTCTTTCCCACCGCCCTCTCACCCTCACTAGGTGTGCAGAGATGCTCCTGAGGTTTGGGGCGAAAGTGGATGGTCGGTCCGAGGAGGAAGAGGAGACCCCTTTGCACGTGGCCGCTCGGCTGGGCCATGTGGAGCTGGCAGACCTACTTCTAAGACGGGGCGCGGACCCAGATGCCCGAGACGCTGAAGGCTGGACACCGCTGCTGGCTGCCTGTGACACCCG